GTTCCTATACTACAAAATATTAAACAACAATTATTAATTATCTTGAATTACAAGCACCAAATTCCCGCGCGTCGCGCGGGCTGTCTCTCCCTAGTAATTGAAATAATTTAATTTTTTTAAAATATCATTTTTCGCTATCTTTTCCAGTAAATTAACACTTGATCTTTTCTTTTCCTTCTTAATCCAGACAAAATTTTAGTATTTCATTTTTTTCCACCATATTTGATCCAAACAAGATAGATGAAATTCACTTTTCTCCCGTCTTCTTTTTTTTGTCCGGCATGATAGATTTTATACTACACATACTCCTACTCTATATTAGGAGTAGGGGATGACTCAAACGAATCAAGGGATAATCTGATGTGAACTGAACTATCACTGGTTCAGACGGGTTTCTACGCACCTGGTGGTTGAGCATTCTAGAAAATCCTAGATATTAAAATGTAGGTCAAGGGATTATTCGATCACTTGACCTACATCCAAGTAAAGTCTTGAAACTCTTTTGGTGGCCAAGTTCACTTTTCTCTGGTCTCCTTTCCTTTCTTTTTCATTGGTGTCCTTTTCTTTCCTTTCCCTTGCTTTCCTTCAATCCAAACAGTGTCTTAGAAAGTATGGAAGGAAGGGATGCTTGTATTCATATATGAGAATAACTCAACAACAATTGTTGACATTTCTACTTCTAATTATAGATTTATTAGTGTGTACAAACAGGCCTCACCGATTCAACGAAAACTTGAAGCCAATCTGCCCCACATCAAATTCATGGTATAAATGCGTTATATATAACTATAAGAAAATTCTAAAGTTAACCACTCCTTCAAATTGTATCTCTTTTATGATAACAACTATCCATATTTTAAATTCAGAGTTCTTCAATTCTACGTTCTAAGAGTACAAGACAAGAGTGGACCTAACAGTTAGTTATCTTAAAAAGTATAAATTTTCTTCGCGAAAGTTAGCCTGAATTCAAGGGGTGGATGATACTATATGAAATTTATACTGAAGTCATTCTCCATATTTTGTGCGTTTATTCTATGCCCTCAAGAGGTAAAATAGACGAAAACTTTAAATAATTCAAATTATTAGAATCTCATGGCAAAAAAAAAAAAACAATTTATTCATTATTAACGGATAAATTTAACTTGATGACATGATATCTACTAGAAGAGACTATAAAATCTCCTATAACTATCATCCATATATAAGTAGAACTACAAAGCGTATATGTTATTGCTTTCTACGTATGGTCAGTTTATGACTTAAACCTTTTAAACTAGTAGACAATATCAAAACTTAAAACCATTTGAACTGACCATCACACTGTTTTAGCATATTTAGTTGTGACTTAAACTCTTAAACAAGTAGACAATTTCAGATTTGAAACCATTTGAACTTATTCTTACTTCTCACTTTAACCTTTTAAACTACTAAAGAAAAAAATTTGGATTTAAAACCATTTTGAGCTGTTTACCATTGCATATTTAGGACGAAAATAGAAGAGGACAATCTGGATTGCACTTCTGTTCAGCATTTTTGGTAACAATCCTAATACCACCCAGAAACATGAGGAAGCAGCTGCTGATGGTTTAATGAACCAGTCTAATTGGCCACCCTTCACTTTCTCTTCGCCTCCAAAAGTGGCCCATTTAAATTTGCTTTTGATTTCGGCTTCTGGCGTTCGTGCACTACTCTCCACACATGTCGAGTCCAAGGATGAGCCCATTCTTCCCGAGCCTCTCCAATTGGTATTGAGAACTGTAGGACTGTCTCCAATTGGTGTTTGACAAGTTGTTCACCAGATGGGATTTAAAATCCCTCTTAAAAATCCAAATCCCACGTCTTAAAGTTTAAAAGATCTAGAAGATATGCCAATACTTTTTTTTTCGACACGATAGACCTACACTTACTTTATACTAGGAGAGGGGGATCTAAATAGGTCCAAGAAGAAATCAGAAGGAATTGAACCATCACCGATTCAGACGAATGCACTACGCACCTGTCTGAAAAGCCACTTCCACATATAATTACTGAAACCTTGTCTCCCACCCCACCAAGCCTTGCATGCTAGCGTGGTGGCCAATAGCCAAATGGCTGTTGGTTTAGAAGATATGCCAATACACTTCTGTACTTTAGATGGGCCTTATCTCTACCCCTGGATAACACAGTTGGGTCCTCCATCTTGTTCAATAAAGATGTTATAAATATTGTCTATATCTATATTACCATCATTTGGGCCCATGTGAGGGCCGCATTTATTGTGAGAGAGGCCTTTGGCTTGTGTCCATATTACAATTTGCAAGTAACGGGGACTTGATGTCAACAGGCTTGAATTAAGACTTGTGAGATTTCTTAGGATAAAGTAGGGGGTTTGGATAGGGGAAGTAGAGAAAAAGAAGGTAAATAAGGATTGAGACCATTTTTTTTTTGTCTTAACTGTTAACGTTTTAGACTTACAATCATTTTCGCTTCGTTAATCATTTTCTGTTTTATGTTTTACAAGAGAGCCCAAAGAAATTGAGCAGTATTTATATTTTCAGAGGTATACATTAATAATACACATTTTTTAAAATAGACGACCACAAGTGATCCCCTATTTTAGAGGAGAAGAACTTAACAATGCAACCAAAAGCAAACCCTATGGTTGAATCAAGAAATGTGACATGAGTATTCACCAAAAATAAAAAATAAAAATGCGAACGATGGACCAACTGGACTCGAGCACCTAAAAAAAAAGAAAAAGAAAAACTGGACTCAAGCAGATAATACTTACGAATCATCCAGACCCAAAATGTGAATAACACACATGGCCCTAAAACTGGGACAAAAATTACTGGGCCATAGCCGGGTTGGGCCGGGCAAAAATGGCCATCTGCACAGACCACCAATGTTTGGTATTTCTACCAAAAAACGAAAAAAAAAAAAAAAAACCAAAGGTAGGTTGTGGAAACGAACCATTAGAACTATTATTTTGTATTGATTTTAACCATAATCCTCTAACTCAATAACTATATATTTTTTTCGAATGTGAATTTTACGCTAGTATGACAGGTAATATGCTTTGTGATGTTTGGTTTTTATGTCTTGGCAAGTTGAAAAACTAAAAAAAGAAAAAGAAAATAGCAACAAATTAGCTTTGCTTGGATTGTGATTTTTTGTAGAAATTTTTTTACGTTTTTCGTGAATATATTTTTCAATCATTTTTTTATTTCACAAACATCAAATTGTAAAGTACATTTTTCTTCAAAAACTCCTAAAAATACCAATTCAAACACGCCTGAGTCTGCCTCTTGAGGACATTAGACTCTTGTCATGTTTGGCAAAGTAAAAATGTCGAGCGATCCCTCTTGTTACAAGAAGTTGATGTTCGGTGGTCATTGAAGATTGCCATTCAGCTGCGTTTTCCTTCCCTAGAGTTCTTTCGTTTGGGTCCATCTTTAGTTGGGAGAGAAGGAAATTGTATGGATTCTAATGCGGCACAGTTTTTAACCTGCATGCAATATTTCATGTAATGGATCGTAAAATCATTTGTCCACATTATTAATCATTTTGATACACCGTCTAATTTGCAACACTGTTAAAACATGATGTCGAAAACTACGTATAATTGGATTAATCTGTCAGTACACTGACAGTGTATACACTATCAATATTGAATGAACGACAATTATGTAACATTTGAATTTAAAATTTAATTTTTGCACACATGTCATAAATCCAATGCTGATAGTGTATACATCGTCAGTGTAGTAAAAATTTACTCATAAAATTTTATCCAATTGTATATTTTTTTTCTCAACATTTAGAATTTAGAATTCGGCCAATCATGCAGGGCTCCTATATCTACTTTAGTTAGCAGACTCCTTATGTCAAATCATAGATATGGAAAAAGGTGTGAAAATCTTCTTGTCAGATTTGTTTTTGGACTAAATAGTTCGTGAAAATGTGTCCTAAGAAGCGACAAATCTGCAATGTTAATGTTGAAATGGAGGTAATTTTTTGTTCAGATCTATTTGAAGTTTCAAAGGTCCTTCTCCAAATCCTATCTGGTTGTTTGGGAAACTCAAGGGGTTTTGGATTTCAAATCCACCACAAATTCCCCTATAATTAGGCATCATTTGAAATCTCATTTTCACGGTCTCTTCCCTGAGCTATTATTCTCGTAAGCATGTGTAAGTCTCGGTGAGATATGCCGGCCATTGTAGCCGACAACTGGATAGCTCAGAAGTGCAGAGAAAAATGGAGGAAACGATTTTGAATCCCCTGTGTGATTTGCGTCTCGATTTAGTTGAATAGATAGTGTTTATGATAGAGAGAAGTTGCAGCTAAGGGAAAGAGAGAATTGAGAAGTTGGGTGCAGCTGCCGGAAACGCATGAGTGCAGGAGGAGGGAATTGAAATAGTGACCGGCATCGAAGAAGAAGAGGAAATAGGAATTTGACATTTAGCCCTCAATAAAAATGACTTATGTGTAACTGATACAAATTCTCCTCAAACATAAATAGGATCGCGAGTGTAAATTCTCAAAGTTACCATCTAGCACAAGTGCACAGCCGACCATTACCGATTAGGAATTCATGGAGGAACAGATGCAAATGCCAACACAACAGCATGGATGTCGCATGGATTCGGACACGGGTAGGGTTGGTCCGGAAGGTTGATATGTTTGTTGTAGATTCATCAAAAAAGTTTATACATTTGTTATAGGATCTATATATTGTGCAATAATCAACATAATATAGGAGGTTTTTTATTATAAACAGGGATGATTATATGGAATGTAAAAATGTAAATTTACATATTAGTTTGAAGGGTAAATTTGTCAATTTATTAATTTAATTTTGACTTTTACTATTGACTGATAATTTAACCTAAATCATGAGGGGGGTTATATATAGATTTTGAAATCATATGGAGTTATGTGATAAAGTATCAAATCATAGGAAATAAAAGGTAATTTACCCAAAATAGTAGATTTACACATCAACTACATGCAAGTTGCAACTGAATATAGGAGGTATTTATTATAAGCAAGGATGATTATATAGACTGTAAAAAAAGTAAATTTACGCATGAACCAGATACAACTGAACCATTGACAATATGCTTACATTTGGGGGATATACATGACATTGACATAATACAACCGGTGACGAAGAGAGGCCAAACAAGGATTTATTTAATTTAATCATGGGAAGATAATGACTTGAACACCCAGGCTGATGAAGACGTATATAAAAACAGCATCAAAGCAAGAAATATTGATCAATCCGGAGATGTAAACAAGTTTCTGCAGAATATTTAGTTCTTTGGAACCCAGACGATGTGATCCTCAGGAAGGAAATGGCAGATTGGAACAGTTCCAGGCTTCACTTTTAGCAGCTGAAAGGCCAAATGCTTTGGATTCCATTCTGATGTATCCTTGTGACAAACAACCACAGCCTTGACTTTAGCTCCATCAGCACCAACTAAATTAACCATGCATGCATCGGTATTCTGCGTGGTGCGGCAGTAAAAAACCGCGTAGACATAGTTTTGCTTGTGGCAAGAAACGATTGTTTTATCATTGTTGTTCAACTTGGAAACATCCACAACACCATAATTCTGGAATGTTGCATCTGTTTTATGTGCTTCGCTTGAAACTGCTAGAACATCTTTGCCCAGCTTTGACGTAGTGAAATCAACCATTGACTCCAGGGAAGTCGCACACTTCTTGTCTTCCCCTTTCATTGCAGGCGCCTCGCACTCTGCTATGGTTTCTTCAATAATATCGGCTTCTACCGATCGTGGGTTCATTGAGTATTTGTTCAAAATTTCAGGAACGGATTTGGACGAGAAGGGAATGGAATCGGCAACCAGACGAGAAGGGAATTGAGTATTTATTGAGTACTTTTCGCTGATTCAACGAACTTCAAATTTGGAGGTCCGTTTTAAAGAAGAAAACTTTTACTTTTGGGTCATTATAGAGTTGATCTTCAGCAGGATTTTACCATAACTGGTCACCAAATATCTGACACCCTATGATCCAAACATTGGGACTGCCTCTGGTCTTAAGCTGAAGCTGCCACTTCCAGGGGACTTCCCTGTAATTATTGGATGAGCAACGAGGTACGACATATAAATATATTTTTTTTTGTTGCAATACAAGAAAACTCGTGTAATTATTGAACATGTCATATAATTTATAGATATTGAATAGTTTTGGTGTTCGTTCTTTTGAAGCAGTGCAAAAGGTAAGTTTTGGTATATTACACTGAAAAAAAAAAGAAAATTACTAAGTGGGCAATTGGCGGAATTTCAATAGTGAATCCATAATTCATGAACATGAGATAACATCACTGTCAATATTGACCTTCTCATCTGAACACACTTTATGCTGTCACTTGTACATAATTATTAGACATTAACCATCTTTTCATATATAGCGTTCTTTCTATGGTTTGAGTCGATCTTGTAATAGAAAACTTCTATTACAAATTTCTTTTAGGTTTTAGAACTTGGTGAGTGCCTTTCAATTCAATTCCCCCAGAACAAATAAAGACTCAACTCAAGCAATAGAAGCAGAATAAATGACAAATAATACGAAAGGAGCATTTCTCAGACCGACAAACCATTGTTTAGGAGATCTCCAACAGCTTTGGGCATTTCCAACAAACTTCAAGATCTCGTCAGTAAATTTGTACACTACCAAAAGTGCAAGCAAATTATTTATCTAAAAATTCTCATAAATTAATTTTTTAAATACTTAGCTTTACTTCTTTTTTTTTTTTTTTGTTTAGTAATGCATATACTCACAAAAACAAAAGGAAGAAAGTAGAGAAGCTTATGAAATTCCATGGTAGTTATGCACACGAGCCACAGTAGAATGAAAGCATACAGTACTAAAAGCCAAAATATTTGAGCAACCATAAGAAACTTAGCAGCCTTATTTATAAGCGGAAGAGCCAATTGGCATTGCCAATTGTTAGAGGGGCGAAAGATTTTACTAATATCTTGGCTGTAATATTCATCGTATGGCAAAAATGCACCTTAACCACCATTAAGATTCTTGACAGATAAAATGAAATAGTGAAAGTCAAAATATTTTAGTAAAGATATCACACAAAAATTCGCCGAATTTTTTATATGAATTTTTCTAATGGATAGTTAGTATTCGTTAGCACACCTAAATTACACGTAATAAATACATAAAATTACAATTATTGCATCCTATGCATTTGGACACATTTTCAACAAATTAATACCTTAGCCCCTCTTAATGCCAAACCTTTTTTTTTATATAAGTGAACTTAATTATCACCACCCTTAAACAAAAAAAAAAACCCTTAATTATCACCTAAGAAAACTGCCATCTGTACTTTTACTGTTACCTAAATTTGCATCTAAGAAAATCGTCATTCACACTTTTATTGTCACGAGAAGATCGATCCTGAATATTCAAAGTCTCTTGTAATACCCCAAATATTGATAAAACACTACCAACTCGATCGTGATATATATGTTTGTTATATATGTTTGACTTGTACCCAAAAGACTAAGGCTCCGTTTGATAACACTGAATCTAAATTCTGAACTCTGAATTCTGAATACTGAAATAATTAATTTGCTGAATTTTAAGCACTGAAAAGATATATATGAATGTCTGAATCTTAATGCTGAATCTATTTATACTGTTTGATAAATATTCATAACTTAATGCTTAAGAAGCTAAATTGTACAATTTTGCCCTTCTATCTTTTAATCCAAAAAGGAAATAGAACCTATGATTTAATTAATTTAAAATTGTTAGGTATAAAAATGACAATGATTGTGAAGAGCAATGCATACAATGACAATATTTCTTTGTGTGGGAAAAGGGTATGGTTTCATCATTTTGAAAATAGGAAAACGAGCTTTTAATACTCCAAAAGCACCTTCAATTACATTTCTCAATCTTGCATGTGCTTGGTTAAAGCGTTATTCTTTTGATCTTGGACGAGAAGCATTTCGAAAATCAGACAACCAATATCTAATATTTCGATATGGTGTCATAAAGCCACGTGTGTGTGGATAAGTTGCATCACATAAATAATATTTATCTGCACAAAAAAATATATATATCAAAATATAAATGTTTGTGGATGAAAATTACTGCAAAAAAATACTATTGTTAAAAAAAAATTTTGAATAGAGAATATCAGGTTGTTTTGTTTAATTAGATAAGGATTTTAAATAGGAAATATTAGGTTGTTTAATTAGATAAGGATTTTGAATGTAATTAACAAACAGGGATATATTTGGTAGATAAGATAAAGTAGTTGAAGTAAATCTCTTGATTCTTATCAAATTAAGCATTCAACTACGATTCTTGTGCTGAAAACAATACATACAAATTCAGTACCACTTAATAAGTTCAGCAGGTGAATTTTTATTTATCAAACACCCACAACATCTGAATGTCTGAATGAATTCAGTTTCAGCACTTTTTTATGTTATCAAAGCAAAGCTCTGCTCCTTTTTTTTGTCGCAACGATAGATGTTGTATAACCTACTCTAGCCTAATCTAGGGGAAGGGGTAGGGGAATGGTCAACTAAGACCAGCCACATATTGTGGCCAAATTGTGGGAGGCAGGGGTTGATCCCCTGACCTCCAGCATCACCATTATGGTGACAAGCAAAGTAGTCATAGTCCTTCCGTCTAATTTGGCTGTTAAGATGGACGGGATGATACAAAAATAATACAAAAAATAAAGGGATAATTTCAGAAACATCCCTTGAGGTTTTCAACAATTTCATTTAGCTCCCTTAAGGTTTTAAAAATTACACATACCTCCCTTATCATTTAAAATGATAATACTACCCTTAAATATTTTAATAAAATTTCCTTGTTTGGTATGTGTATACTTAGAATGACTTTTAAAATTATTTTTTCATTATTTTTCATTTTTTAAAAAGTTTTTAGCCAATAAAACTGTAGAACTATCACTATCACCTCTAGTTTCTATTGTAACCGAATGTCCAACTAGTGATTTTTTGACAAGTTAACTTTATATGTAATCCAATGTAGTTGCTGATTTTTGTTTTCAATTTTTGGGTATTAAAATTAACAATAAATGAAAAGAAAATGGCCTAAAATAACTATTAAATTATGATAATCCAACTACTCGAAAAATTCATAAACTCTAAATGAATTATTTCAATATTTTTTTATCTTATAAATTTAAATTCATAATAAAATACCATCAAAAGTATCCCATCATAGTGATAAAATTATTATTATTACAGTTGTTTATCAAATAGTAAGTATGGATTTGAAAATTTTGAGACATTTTTCTTATAATTATACTAGATAATCTTATAATTATATGGGGAAGTAAATTAACACTCATTACACAAGGGTATTTTTGAATATTCATTTAAAAATTTGAACAAGTCAATATTATTTTAAGGTTTTGTTACTAAAACAATCAAATCAAGGGAAGTAAGTGTAATTTTTCAAATCTCAGGGGAGCGCAATAAAATTTTTAGAAACCTTTTAGGAGGTTTTTGTAATTATCCCAAAAATAAATGTCAAGTGAGCAATCCGTGATGCGTTTTCCATCCATCTTAACAGCCAAATTGGACGGAAGGGCTACAACTACACATTTTTATTAATTGGAGAACTATATTTACGCACTTATTAGTTGGAGGACTAAAAGTACGTAAAATTAAAAGTTTGAGAACCGCCGTGGTTTTTTGTCTTTTTGCCCTATTAAATACTTGACCACCTAATTGTAGATTCGATAAAATCTGTCCTCTTATAAGCTTTCTGGATAACAATCCTTGACTACCTAGTAACGTGAGGAAGTAGCTCATAGTTTAATCAATGAACCAGTCATTAAATTTGTCTTTTCTCTTTTTTTATTTTGGTCTGTTCTGCTGTATTGACCACCTCTCCAAGTGGTGCTGATTATTTTTGGGCCCTCACGCTAATAGCTGAGAAACCAATTTGTCCAGAGGCAAATTAACCCAAGAGATTTAAATTCTTTTTTGATTTGTCGGTTAACTTCTCTAGATTTAAATCTCACACCCTGAAGTTTAAAAAATTTGGAGAATATGCTAGTATACTCTTCTAATTTAGAGAATATGCTAGTATAGTACTCTTCTAATTTAGATTGGCCTTGCCTCTAGTCTAGCCTCAAATATAACACGGTTGGTCCCCTCCTTTTTAGTGTAGTATATTGTGGGTATTACCAATTGAAAAAAAAAAAAAAAAAACTAACATTTGGGTCCTATGTGATGGCCACACTTATTGTGAAGGACATTAATAGTATCACAGACGTGTGAGTTTAAACTCACAGAAGCCAAAAAAAAAAAAATTCTCAAAGGGAGCACCGAAAGTCTACTAATTGCAAAAAGAACCCTTTGAAATCTCCCTAGAGCAAAAATCCATTGATCGCACTCTACCCTTTCTTCTAATGCACTTGGAATTGAAACAAGAAATAGATCATTTGGGTTTTTTTAGATTTTTTTTTTATGTAGGTTCCATACCTGTGATTGGTTCAAACTTATCTAGAGATCATGTGTTTGGATGTGATTGGTAATCGGGTTGCAATAAATTCATGACGGATTTTGCAATTTTGGATGTTTGGAAGGGGAAATGTAGAAAATACGTACTCTCGTTTTTGCTCTTAACATGATGAACCAGTGACCTTTTCATCCAAAATTCATCAAGTTCCGGACTGTGATAGTAAGCTACGCGGCCATTCTGCTATTTTCCTACTGTAAAAATATGAAGATGAAATGAAAGATTCTCTGAGCTCCAGACTATTCTCAACCACAAATTTTTTAAATTTATCATTATCTTATTTTTTTATTCCTATCTTTTTAGTATTTTTGTCCTTTGAATTGTAGATTCTTTCTCGTTGTTTAAAATCTCAAATGATGTAAGTTACATTTTTATCCCCACTACATTATTTTAACAAAAACAAATTAATTTAACAGTATGAGACACAACACAATAATGAAGCTGTATATTTATTACTAAATTGAAATATGTATTAATTATTTATTAAAGCGACTACTCATTGCTATATATTTCTACGATGTATGATTTTGCACTCCTAATAAGATGTAGACATTGGTTTTATATGTCTAAGAAGAAAACTTTTGACAATATACAAATTTAACTATTAATTTCAACTTCA